GTCCCCAGAGAAATAAAGATGGAAAGGAGCCTTGGGAGCGTGAACTTCCAGGAGGGGTTCTGTCCCACCATTAATAATGTGTTAGAGCTCTTTGAAGGGCAAGTCCAGAGAAGACCCAACAGAATGGCTTTATCACTATAGACTCTTAATTTTGGGGGGGCTTTTGGATGCATAAAAGACGTATCTCTGCATGAGAGTTGATTCAGTATGAGGAGGCATCTTCAGTGTCCTGTCAATTCCTGGGAGTGATTTCTTTCAGAGTAAGTTGGTTACTGTAAGTTGAGAGTGGGTAAGGACCTCATAGGCAAGCAGTTGAGGATTTGAATGATGTACATTTGCATTAACTGAATGAGAATTTTTTTCAGTTTATGAGTTTGAATTAACATGTGTAGAATAGAACAAGTAAATGATAAGGAAGGATCTAAGCGAAAACTCTCAAAACTGTTTAACAGTTTGGTTTGTTCTTTGCAAAACATTCTTTATGTGTCAGGAAGCTTTAAATTTGATGCGTTTTTAAATTGGAGTATGTACTAAATTTTGATTTTATGACTATTTCAAAATGACTGATTAAATTGAATGGAAGTTGAGTGGTATGCAGATTATGTTTTGTTTGACAAAGAGTTAATATCCAGTCTGTGTTCAGTGGTAAGGGCAGAAAGGAGATCCGGCCTGGATGACGGAGGGAAGGTGAAGGATGGGAGGAGGGGTTTGGAAAGAGGAAAACTGAAATGGAGGCATAAATGAGGGGACCAGGTTTGAATCTTGGCTCAGACTTTTAGTGTCCTTAGTGTTCTAGTAAAATTACCAACCTTCCCTGGTGTCCTGTTTTAAAAAGGGGCCTTAGTAATATTTCATAGAGTTCTTGTAAAGGTTAAATAAAATAACATATTAAGCATCTAGCCCAGTGCTTGGGGTGGAGGTATTCCTCCTTGAGTTCTTTTTCTCCAAGTAGGAAATTTCCATTTGAAAGTTAATTTGTAAAAGTTGTTTGCATATACATAATCAGGTGCCCTTGCTTTGTTAAAAGGGACTGTTTTATAGATTGGGTCAAGAAAAATTATTGATTATATGAAAATATTTTTTGGTCATTATACAGATTTAGAAATAGATTTGTTGCATATCATTCGTTGAGTCTGAGCTAGAGTGGGAGTTTTAGCTGCCTTTGCATTATCTTTGTGTGAAAGGAAAGGATTCTAGCTGGTTCTCCACTACCCGAGCCTAATGGTGTTGCATCACTTTTGCTGTCTAGAAGTGGTAGTTAACATTAAGCAGAGTGCTGTCACATCTTAACATTTGGGTTCTGCATGTCTGTCACGGAAGTGAATTCTGATTGGAAACCAAGGTTTGACCAACTAAGGTAGAAATTGTATAAAAACACGTTTTCATCCCCGTTCCTAATTCTAAGGTTAGACTCTCAATAAAAATGAGAAAGCTACATATGTTTTTAAAAAAATGTGTGTGTGATGATGATGGCAGGAGAAGGAGCGTCAGCAGGCCTCGGCTTCCTTTAGTCACACTTGGGCTTTCATGCTGGAAACTAACTTGCTCTCCCCACCCGCATCCTTTTTTACTTAGAGATTATACTAAGTCAGTGGAGGAAAGGCAGAAAATTCAGATAAGCAGAAGAAAGAAAATAAAATGATGGGTAATCCCACTTTTCAGAGAAAACCGTTACTAACGTTTTCACGTATTTAGTGTCAGGTTATTTTTCTCTTCATGTATTCCTATGTTTAACTTTTTTTAAAGATTTATTTATTTGAGAGAAAGAGACAGAGAGAGCATAAGCAGGGGGAGAGGCAGAGGGAGAGGGAAAAGCAGACTCCCCGCTGAGCTGGGAGCCTGACGTGGGGCTCGATCCCAGGACCCCGGGATCATGACCTGAGCTGAAGGCAAGATGCTTAACTGACTGAGCCACCCAGGCACCCTCATTGGAAAAATTCTTATGGGATACAGAAATATGTAACAAAATAAAAGATTCCACATAAACCAACTAATGATTTACACAAAAGTACTTTTTAATGCTTGCTTAGTATTCTTCTGTGTGCATGGATTATCATCCTGAGCTGATCCATTGTGTTTTCCACTTAGCAATTAATGGGAAAGAGTCTGTAATAAACCACCCTGTTGGGAATGTTCTTGTACATACATCTTGGTATAATTGCCAATTATGTCATGAGAATAAATTCCTATACGTGTATATGCTGGCTAAAGTGTGTGTATATTTTAAGGCTTTTTTTTGTCATGGACTGCTAAATTCCATCCAAAAAATGATACCAGTTTATTCTCTAATCACTGTTTGGGGGGATGTTTGCCTTCTAATTTTTTTTCTCTTAAAAATTTCTTTTTACTAGTTTGATAGGTAAAAATTACTTAATTTGAAGTTATTTTTTGATTATTAAATTTCTAGTTTAGTTTAATTAGTTTAACTGACTTAAACTAATTAAAAGTAAGTATTTTTTTCATGAGGTTTTGGCCATGTGTATTCCTCTGTGAATTATTTTTGCACATTTAAAAAAATTGAGGTGTTCATCTTTTTCTATGAAGTAGGTATTTTAGTTTAAGTATGACTTAGCAGATGCTTTTATCCATTTTGAAACAAAATGAACCATACATAAATACGGAATTCACTCAAATGGGCCACAGAGGTCTCTGTGTTGACCTGGGAGCCAGGAAATTCAGGCACAGCTGGTACTGTTATCCTCAGGTTGGTGGGCAGACTTGGTGTCTCTTCCCAGCTGCCACCTTTGACTGTGTGGGGTTTTCCAGCACCATCTTTGTTCGTCCCATTGATTTCTGGATTTGTGTCAGTGTGTCGATGGGGAGTGAGGAGGACTCTGCCGTCCACTGTGATAAATCGAAACAACACTTTTGATCCCTAAGTTAGTAAAAAGTAACTAAAATGGACTGCCAGTGTTAAAGTACAACTACTCCCTTTCCCTTATCCCGTCATGCTGGCAAATGTGACGGATGTCTCTTAAACATTATAAAGTAAAACCCCTTCTATTATTTTGGTGTGTGAAGTGTCACTTTAAATCTTGCATTGTGATGCTGTCTCTTCGTAACATACCATTTGGGGACTTCCCTTTCTCTGTTTGCAGGGAGGGGAGTGTGTGTGCATTCACGTGTGTGTGTGTGAGCGGAGGGTGAATGATAGTTTGAAAAGAGGTCTAATGCGACACGGATAACTTTTCTTTAGAGTGGTGCAGGTAGATGTTCAGTAGAGCCAATTTCTGAATAAACTCTTAGGGGAGACTTACAGGACATGGTATGGTGCCTGTCACATAGTCCGTGCTCATTACCTGATGGCAACGACACATTCGTGTGTAACATCATCCTTTCATCCTTTCCATAGTTATTCATTGAGAGCCTACTCAATGCCAGGCTCTGGTCAAATCTTGGGAGTGCTCCTGTCAGTGAAAAGGCTGACGTGTCTTTTCTTCATGGAGTTTATGCTCTGGTGTGAGCATGCAGTCACTAAATAAAATAAGGAGATGATCTCATACTTTAAAAGAGCATAAACGCTATGAAGAAAAATAAATCGGGGGTATGGCTGGTGGTTGATGAGAAGAGAAGGATTTACGGTTTTAACTAGGATGGTCGAGGAAGGTGCTGTTAAGTATGGTCGGGGTCAGGCAGATTGGGTTTAATTAAGTGGGTGACTTTGGGAAAGTCCAATTGAACTTTTGATCCTCAATGTCCACATGTTAAGAAAGACACAATGAACCTGCTACATAGGGTTAAATGAGATGATACGGAAAGCATAGAGCATTGTGCCTGACATCTGACTCCCAGCAGGAAAGAAGCATGGTTAGTACACAGGAAGGTGGGTGCTGCTCCCCGACAGACACAGGCTGGGATACACAGGCATGCTCAAAGGGCTGGGAGTGAAGTGTGAGAGCTTTGTTGCAGAGGGAAGGCTGCGGTAAAGAAGTGTAATGTGGATAGGAGAGAAAAGAAGAAATGAGTGGGGGAGTCTTGGCTGTGTATGTGGAGGGAACAAGTTGAAGCATTGAGGTTCTTTCCTTTCTTCCTAAAGAGAAAGTAAGAGACTTAGTTCTTTTGCTTTATTTTTGACAGTTCTTTCACCAGTTGATCCTGCAGTTCTATTTCAGTGCCTAATCAAGTGTTTTACAGTCTAGTTTGGGGGAAGTATATAAATACATACACATATGTATATGTATTTATATATGTGTATATATAGGTATGTGTGTGTATACAAAGATAAAAGTTAAAAATAGTTGCTAAATAGATTTTCTTTAAAATGAAGGAATGAGAAGTGCTGGAAGCATGGCAGGGGTGGGTGGGGACATTGACTGAGAGTGGATGAGTAGGTTTGATCTGAGTCCTGAAAGAGGGGTCAGGTTTCCCGTCTTTTCTCTGGAAGGACACCGATACTTCCCGGAGTATGTTCCATAGTACCTTAGTTCTAACAGATGATTAGGTAGAGAAGATTTGGAGGGTCAGCTGAGGTTGCAAAAGCATCGTGTGCCATCACCCATGTTGAGGTTCACACCTACACGTTCACTTACTGAAGCAAAGGGACCCGCGGAACCGTGTAGTCCGGCAGGACAGGGCCCTCCCCACACTCGATCTGCAGAACAACCCAGAACACTCAGGGGACCTGGGTGCAGTGGGGTGCTGCTGGAAGCTCACTCTTCTTTTCAAGTTACATTTAGGGAATAGAGTTATCACTTGTCTTCGTGCGCAGACAGTATTTGTAGAGCATTTAGAGATCATTACACATATTTGCAGTAGGTGTTAAAGTTTAGGAGAAAAAAAGGACTCCGGCCCAGATAGAGAAATGACTTAATGAGGATTACCATTTTGGATCTCCCCGTTTTTATCTTTTAGTTTTCTTTTCTCTGTTGCTTATTTTGTTTCTGTGAAATGTTTTGTACAGTATTGCAATATGATGAAGAATTGTTTTGAAAGTTGAAAATGGAAACATTTTAAAGACACTCCTATTTTAACAACGGCATTTCCTCCCTTCCTCCCCCAAGGTATATTACCCAAATTTGGGATGGATGTGCATTGATGCCACCGACCCAGAGAAGGGGAATTGGCTGCGATATGTGAATTGGGCTTGCTCAGGAGAAGAGCAGAATTTATTTCCGCTGGAAATCAACAGGGCCATTTACTATAAAACTTTAAAGGTAAGAGTGTTGGAGCTGGTCTGCTGTGAGTTACTCTGCCTGCATTTTTGTAACTGACAGTAATGACCCTGGCGATCTTGAAAGGATTAGATTTGAAAGTGGTTCATCAACACAAGCAAGGTCTTTGTTTTAAATATACAGTTGCCACTGTTTTGTGTGCACCAAAGCATGAAGATTGTGTTAAATAATTACATGCTGCATCTTTGTAGATACTGATGAGTTAAGCATGTGGCAGCCGCTTCCCCCCTCTTAAGATACAACTGCACGAGCCACTGTCCAACTGGCAGATTTATCCAAGTGTAGGATACCGTCGATAGCTGTGGTGCTTCTGTGTTAACAGAAAACACATTCTTGGTCTTCAGTGTCATGTAGCCATGGATTAGCTTTTCTTTTCCCTAGATTTTATTCAGATTGGAAGTTAAACAGAACGGGTTTCTTCTTTCTGCCAATTTTTGATTTGGAGACATTAATTGTTGAGATGAAAAGAAGAGGAAATCATTTTCTAGAGTTTGTGGTGAGGTCAGAGGTCACTAAGTACATGCAGGGCAGTTAGCATTAGGCAGCGTTGAGTGCTGCTACATTTCTGGCGCTGGCCCTCTCTTCATGTTCTCTGGGAAGGCAAATCTGCACTGATCCTGCATGGAAATGTTCTCTAAAGAGGAGACTTGAGGCTCTAAAGATAGATGACTGTTGCTTTTTGGAATAGATACGTCTACTAAAATTGCTGCAATTCAAGTTTCTGTTTATTCACTTCCATTTAAAATTGTCCTAGATTGGGGGACAGTCCATGAAAACAAATGATCTTCATGGAGTTGAAACCTCTTGAGCAAGCGTTGAAGACAGTGGTCAGCTTTGCAGCATGGTGAATTTTACCTGTGTGGTAGCGCTGGGACTTCTGGAAGTTTAGTTAACACAGAGCTGTTTAATTCTCCTTTGCTGTATTTTTCCTGTCATCTTTAGCCAGTTGGACTGCCCTTTGCTTCATATATACCCAAGCCCTTGTTTCCAGTCTCTGCAGGAAATGTTTTTTTGTGCTATCGTCTCATGAAAAATGTCTACCACCTTCCTTCTCATTTTTCTTGCTGCTGGATTGTAACAGCATGATCTCCTAGTAGGTATTTCTATGCAGTGTGGTTACACTGCAGTTTGAAATTGGATTCAGAACTTGATTCAAGAATTCATTCATTGTTTCTCAAACTGATTTAAAGGGAGAGTTACCTCTGGTTAAATTGGTGAGGCAGAATCCTGGTGGAGATGAAATAGTAGTGAGGGGATGACTGGGAGGGGATCAAGCGAGTGGAAATGAGGCCCCAAGGGAGAGCAAGCCCAGGGTGATACTCAGACACTTCGCAGTTCCTTCATCTGACTTCCTGTTAAAACGTGTTCATTTCTGGTAGCAAATCTGAAACACTGAGAATCGAGAGAGAATGGTGTTTGGGAGAGTGAATTCTGAAGCCAGACTGCTGGATTAAATCTGGGCTTGCTTTGTGACCCAAGGCAGGTCATTGGGACTTTACTAGCTGTGTAACCTTAGGCAAGTCACCTTTCTTTGCCTTCGTTCCCTTATTTGTAACATACAGATAACTATAGTATTGACCTCATAGGGTTATCATGATGATTGTCTAGGCTATTAGAGGTAGAGCTCTAGTGCCTAATAAATGCTAAATGCTAGCTGTTATTTTTGGTGAGGTATTATAGTCCTGTGGTTAGGAGTGGGGACTCTGGAGCAGATTGCCTTGTGAGCGAATTCTGGCATCTAGATGTGTGACTAGGAGAAGTTACTTAAACTCTCTTAGTTTTCTCATCTGTAAAAATGGAGGTCATAGTCCAATTAATACAGTTGTTGTGAAGGTTAAACAAGCCACTAGTTGTAAGGTTGTGTGAACAGTCCTAGCCTAACCTGAGTATTCCCAAGTGTTAACCAGCTGTACCATTGCTATTCTTTTTACCTTTGTCTGAAGTAACATAGTTCTGTCTTTGCAGACATCCCCCAGTCCTGACCTTTGATGTTTGCTCACGTATGCACAAGACCTTTCAGATTCCTTGCTAGTGATTATCTCACTAAAATCTTCTAGATTAAGCTTTCTGTGGGTTAGGTTTTGTAAATAAATTACATGTGATGTTCCTCTGGGCTCTGTATAGCCTTCTCAACTATCACCCAGATAATTAGGAAATCTCAACACTGGTCTTGTTTGTAGTATGATTAAAAACTATTTTAAATTCCCGAAAGTTAGAAGTTGGCCTCCCACCCATTCATTCATCTCTTCATTAGTTTGATAAATATTTCTTGAGAGTCTACTATGTACCAGGTATTCTTCTGTGGTAGTGAACAGAACAGACAAGGTCTCTGGTCTCATGGAACTCCAGCTTATAGAAAATGAACAATGAGTAAAATTATAATTTTAAAAAATTATATAAAATTATATAATTTTTTATCTATCCCCTGGCAGGTCAGGGAAGACAAGACATAAAAACCCCCTCCTTCCTACCCCCCTAGCATGGGAAGGAGCCAGTCACACAAAGATCTCTGCGGAAGACCAGTCTAGAAAGAGGGGCCCGGTAGAAGTAAAGGCCTTGAAGTAGAAATAAGCTAGATTTTTTTTTTTTTTAAGGAATAGAATAAAGGCCAGTGTGTCTGGAGCAAGGAGAGGAATGGTAGATGAGGCTGGTAAGGTGGTCAGGGGTCAGATCAGGTGGGGCCTTGTGGCCCACAGGGAGAAAGATGAATTTCAGTCTTCAGTTCACCTGTTTGAGAGCTGAGGCTGTCCTGACCCGTGACTTGGAAGAGATCTTGCTGGCGACTAGATTGTAAGTGGCTGAGCGTTGATGTGTTGTGTATTCTTATAATTCTGGAGTATTTCTCTTATTTTGACCTAGTGTCAGGAATATTTATTGGAACCCTTGTCTCTTCCTAATTGGTCTGGTAAAATTTTGAGTTTATATTTACTGATACTTAGATACGAGAGTATGTTTGGGGGACACCTGGGTGGCTCAGTCTTTAAGCGTCTGCCTTTGGCTCAGGTCATGATCCCAGGGTCCTGGGATCTAGCCCCGCATCGGGCTCCCTGCTCGGCGGGAAGCCTGCTTCTCCCTCTCCCACTCCCCCTGCTTGTTCCCTCTCTCGCTGTGTCTCTCTCTGTCAAATAAATAAATAAAATCTTTAAAAAAAAAAAAAAAAGAGAGTATGCTTTGTTCTGTAAGCCTGTCAGAACTCAAAGGAAAAGTTGAAAGATCTTAAAATCTTCTTGTTTTGTTGAACATCACAGTACAATACATAAAAAGGTTGTTTGGACTTTCAACTTTATTTTTTAAGATGTGCACTTATAGTTCTATGTTTAAGGACATAATTTTTCTTTTCTGAAATTTGACTTCCAAAATCTTAAATGTGCTAAGCAGTGCAGAAGAAAAAACAATGTAGTACCGAAGCAAACAAGCACCGATTAAAAAATATATATATTACTTTCCTCTTCATAAAGATCTGTTAGTTGTGTCGCTGTTTTACTATGAGGTGGGGAAGTAAATAGCTCAAGAATATAATAATCCTCTCAGCTGCTAACAGTTTTGAAGGTTGTTCAATAGCTAACAAATCAGGTTGCTCTTAACCAGCTGTTCACCAGTTCACTAGCTATTTAGAAATGTTCTATTAGAGAACAGATTCTGTTGTGTTTTATATTGTGTTTTGCAACAACAAAGGAGTAGCCTCCTAAATAAAGAGTTCGTGCTGATACTTCTCTTCACACAGTTGCTAGTGCAGTCAGTTCTGTGCAGAAGACTGCAGCGCAATGAACAAGGAAACTTTAAGCTCTGAGTCTGGTAGGTATCTTGAAAATGTCCAGTGGGTGTCTTGTAGCCAGTGTTCTGGTTATGCTGTTTGGATTAGGGACATATCGGGAATACATCTTTTTCCTCCCTCCATTCCGTGTTTCTTTTTTACTTTGGTTTTATTGAAGGCTTCCCTTTTTTCTGTGAACGCTAATCATTTCAAATATTGGAGGATACTGCCATTCCATAAATATGTGATTTATAACAAAAAGATAGGGAAGTAGACTATACATTTGGAACTAGAAATAGTTTACTTAAATAAAAAGCCTGTTCCTTCAGGAGAAACAGATTTAGCACATCAGAGTGCCAAAAGACATCTGTAATGGCTATTTCAATTCATTAATAGATTATATATTAGAATCAGGTGTAACTGATTCAAGAAGGCAAATAAGAGTACATTGGTTTAAAGATAAGAAAATGGCAGGTTTTAGCCATCCTTGGGGGAGCAAAGGAAACAGTAGCTTGTTCTTTTAAAGAATTGAGAATATCTTAAAATTCGGACTACATAAACTGAGTTCTGCAGAGAATGAAACAAAATAAAGTCTACTTTCAAGGGCTTTATTTAGACGAGAAGGTACGTTAAAATGAGGAACTATGCTGTTTCTAAACTGGCGTCTTAGATGGAATTCACCTGCACCTAAAACTAAGGGCCTCCTCTTCCATAATCTTAGTGCAGTGATCAAAATCAGGGAGCTAACACTGACACAGTGTTTCATTAGCTAATCTATACACCTTATTCACATTTTGTCAGTTGTTCCAACCATGTCCTTATAGGAAGAGAAAGCTCAGTTGCATTCAGTTGTAATGTCTTATCAGTCTCGTTAGTGTGGACAGTATGTCAGTCTTCGTCTGGTATAGCCTTTCAGTTTTGAGCAAACCTGTCAGTTATTTTGTAGAATGTCCCACAGTTTGGGCTTTTCTTATATTTCATCATGATTAAGTTATGGTCATGCATTTTGGGCAGAGATCTCCAGAAGTGATGATAATCTTTTCTGTGCATTGTATCAGGAGGCACAGGATGTTGATTTATCTCATTCTGAGGATACTGTTTTTACCTTTGTAATTCATGTTTTATGGGGAGATGTTTTGAGACCATGCTAATACTATTACACCTGAAACTTAGACCTATTAGTTTAGCATCTGTTGATGAATCAGTTATTACTGCTATGATTGCCAAGTGGTGGTTTTCTAATTCCATTATTTGTTTTTTATTGATTAGTTGGGATCTACTTCAAGGAAGAGCTTTTTCCTTCTTATTTATTTACTTGTTCATTCATTATATTTATATCAGAATGGACTGATGGATTCTTATTTTATTCGGTGGGTTTTAGGTGCAATTTTACTTTTGTTGTTACCCTTGGAACTTTTTGAACAGGTGAGTCATTGTGAGAGAAGCCAATAAGCCATTTCCTTAAATTCTATTTAGGAATGTGATCTTTCCACTCGGTTATCTTTTTCTTCAGGATCTTATCCTAGGTGTAATCAGCGTGGTGGTGGTCCATGTCCTCGCTACTCTCTTGGCTTTTTCAGAGTTAATGTTTTAGGAGCATAGTACCTGTGTGGTTTTTTTAGGCATTTCCTTCTGCATTTAAAAGTTGTCTGGTACAGAGGGCAAGGCAGTGGATTCTCCTTTGGCCCGAGCAGGTTGGTGGCAGCGCATAGAGAATATAGTGCAGGGACGCCTGCGTCCTGCGTCCCGCCTCTTCTTTTAGCATTTCCGTGATATCATTAGCGGTGCGTTTATAAATGTGAAGTGACTTACAGTTCTTATCATGCTGAACTTGCTCTTGGCATCCGAAACGTACGCTGGTAATTAGCTTTCAACACTTCTCTTTTCCAAACCGTCGGGTTCTTTTACATTACGCTTTACATTTCTCATGAGCCTAGATTTCGTGGGCAAAATGGTTCCGTGTTTTATTTTTCCTTCTGCGTGGGCAGTCGTGAGGCTTTGAACAGTAAGATTCGGTAAGGTAAGACAGTTTGGAGTTGACAGCAGAGCCGCAGGTCCGCCTCCGCGGCCCGCGGGGAGAGGAGGCGGGCCGGGAAGTGAGGTCCTCCCTCCAGCAGAGGGTTTGTGCCGGCGGCCGCCCAGGCCCGCGGCCGCCAAGGGTTAAGGAGCCCTTCCTGCCGGGCTGGCCTGGCTCGCCGCCCCAGCCGGGAGCGCCGCCCCCGCCCCGCCCCGCCCCGCCAACAACCGCCGCTCTGATTGGCCCGGCGCCTGTCTCTTCTGTCCCCGCAGCCAATCGCGCCGGGCGAGGAGCTCCTGGTCTGGTACAATGGGGAAGACAACCCCGAGATAGCAGCTGCGATTGAGGAAGAGCGAGCCAGCGCCCGGAGCAAGCGGAGCTCCCCGAAAAGCAGGAAAGGTAGGCGCCCGCGCCGCCCCGGCTCCCCCGCCGCCGCCGCCGCAGTGATTTATTC